CAAACTAAATTTTAAACAAACCGAACACGAACATATGTTCTGTTTGTTCGTGTTCCTTCGTTTACACCCCTATAATATTTAGAAGCATTTTGTATCAATAAAAATATAAATTTCTGAGATTTAAATAAATTTATAAATTAATTTATTGCTTTCACATAAAACAATAATTACAGAATTATCGAAATTATCAGGCATATGTAATAAGCTTCGCTGGGCCAGGGCCCACAATTCGTTTTGGACCGTCCTTCTCGATCGGGCCGACACGTCGTTTGAGCCGGCCTAATTTATCCCCTATATTTAATTTTAGTTTATCAACGAATATTGACCATCGAGAGCTTTGCAATTACGTCCGATATATTTACGTATTTACATACAAATACTCAAATATTTAATATTACATCAACAAAATTAATATTATTAACATTTTTTAGAATCCAAATACATCATTTCTTATTTAGATTTATGGCATTAAAGTATTATAAATGTAAATGTTAAAATTTAGATTTCAAATATGTAAATATATAAAAATTATGTGGTATATGTGATAATGATATAAACTATAAAAGATGATTTTTTTTTATAAATATATAAAAATTATGTGGTATATGTGATAATGGTTGCATTATATAAACTATAAAAGATGATTTTTTTTTATATATTATGAGAAGTCATGAGGTGTATGAAGGATCATTCATGCATCATTTATGACATGATGTGTCATAGTTATCTATCAGATAAGTGACAAAGAATACAATAACAATTGTTGGTGTTCGTGTTGATGAAAAACATGTATTTTTTTTGGAGGTTGCTGATATGTACTTATATTTATAACTGACGTTCGTGCTAGCGCATCAATTATGGACAATGAGGTTGCTGGTGTACGTTGATGCTAGCGTTAACCTTATTGGTGTTGGCTTGGTCTGCAATGACAATCATTACTCTTGTTGGTTATGCTTAATGTTTGTACTATTAACAACTTTAGTCAACGTTAATGTTGACAATGGGGGTACATCGTTCTTCATAACAAACATCAACTTTATCCACGACATCATCAGTATCAATTTGAATATTAAATTTCTCTTAAATAACACACTATCTCAAATTAGTACTCGTTGAATCTAAATAAGATGTAAGGTCTCGTATTGTCCCTGAGTGCATACAGTTTGGATAAAGACCCAGTAATATAAGAATAGTGCTATAAGTAGAGAATGATATAGAAGAAATCTCATATCACAAAGTTTCTTTTATAAGAAGAACCACGAGAAGAGAAAGAAAGCTCTCTAAACTTATCGGTCATTTTATATCATTAAAGGAATTTAGCTTATTACCAACGGTCAAATACCGTCGATGATAACGTAAAAATTGTGGGTAATATATCTACAAATAGTTTAGCAGCGACTAAATTGATGTAGCGAAAACAATTGTTGGTAATAAAATTATCAATGGATTTAGCGATGATTTATATTAATCGATGTCATAATCGTCATTAGAGAACCAAAAACGTCATGTTTAACCGTAGCTTGTCAGTTATATAACCGACAAATATGCTTGTAGAAAACATGTCACATTTCAGCGACGCCACATACAAGGCATGCACATAGTGGTCAAGAGGAGTATGGCCTGGTTGACCGGTATTTATCAGCTAATTAAGTCGTCCAGCGATAAACAATCAATTAAGCCAAGTGATGTTTGGTGGCCGGTCATACTTACCTCATGTGAGCGACCAAACCCACGAGCCTACAAACATGCAATATGCAATATGCAATATGCAATATGCAATTGATCACAATCAATAAAAAGCCAAACTAAACTAAAGCTCTCACTCACACATTGACAGCTAGGCTTTTAGCTCTTGGATATGCGACATAACCTCCTCCAGCTTTGGCGAGGAATGTGGAGGACTTCATCCTATGATTTCTCATAGAAAAGTCCTTCACTGTTTGTATGATGGACTACCTACAATTTTTTTTCCATTCTACTAGCCCTCCACAATCTTATAGAATGGACTACCTACAAAGTTTTTCCCATTTTTCAAGATCCAACTATTCCAACCTCTCCAAAAAAGGTTGGAAGCACCAAAGCCGTGGGAAATTGAGATTCCGACCCACTAGGATTTAGATCAAAGGGTTATAATGGGAAGTCACTCGGATTTTGCAAAGGATTTTGCCACGAATGAGCTACCTCTTGGAAATCAACAACGTAAATCTAACATTCTCTACAAACATCCTAGAGTTGGCTAAGAAATAAAATGCAAAGGGCCATAAGGAAGCTCACCGCCATGGTGGTTGATCGACGTCTCAAGCTCGTGTTTCAGATGAAGCTCTCATAACATTAGAAGAGATGATGAGGTTTCGGCGAAGTTCACTCTACTCTTCCAAAGAATGAAGAAGGTCTCCTCTAGGAGGAGAGTTTGACAAGATTCCGATGGAGTTTTGAGCTCCTGTGAAGCTCCAGCGATCCTTCCTCAAGCTAGGACGAAGCTCTCCTTTGGTGTGGGTGAGAAAGCACATTGCTCCTTCATTGGCCAATCTCCTCCTCAAGAAGTTCCTCTCACACACTCAAAGGAAGTGGTGGAGAAAGAGGAAGAAGATGAAGAAGGCAAGGGAGAGGAAGCAAGAATTTTTTATATAAGAAGCCTCATTCTGCTTCTATCTCTCAAGCTTTTCACCTCAAAATGTATCTCCAAGCAAGAAGAGTAAGAGGAAGAAGATGTTCTCAGCACTTCCCTTTTAACAGGAATCTAGCTTGGGGAGAAGATGGACCATAGGAGAACAATGGCTAGATATCTCCAACTTTTTTTGTTCCTCCCCTTTCCATATGCTTGCATGCAAACCCCTTCCTCCAAGGGCTCCAAGTGTCCCAAAAAGAGCCACATGACTCTCCTAGATCTTCCTCATTGGTTATTCCCTAATTATCCCCTTAAACATGCACTTTAAAGTGGTTTTCGGTGGAATAAGAGAGATACCGATGACAGAAAATGAGAAAAGCGGGTGACCCAACATGGTCACGCTCAAGACCCGGCGTAATTATGTCAGGCTCTCTATTTGGGTGGCGTGATCACGCCATGAAAGTCATGGGCGCCTTAAAAAATTTGGACGTGGTCAAGCTTGAGACCCAGTGTAATTACGATGGGCTCTCTGTTTGGGTAGAGTGGTCACACCATCCTCGGGCGTGTTGGTGCTACCTGAGGGCCCTAGACATTTTTTGGGAGTTTACAGCATGGGCACGCCAGGTGTTGGGTATGGTCACGCCCGGGGTTGGGTGTGGCCACGCCACCAAAAAAGTGAACCTTCCAAAATGTCTATCGGAGGGGATTTCAAGCCATGGGTTGCATAAAAAATGGTTGCCAACATCTACATTTAAGCATACACGATAACTATCACTTTTAAAACAGTGGGTTAAGGTTCATCTTAAAACGAAGAGAAAATAAAAAATAAAAAACTTTAAAAGTTTTAAAGAGGAAAAAATGAAGAAAGGAAGTATTTAAAGATCTAAAGTTGCAAAGAAAATCAAACAAGACAAACACAAGAAATAGTGAGACAAATCAAACCAATAAAAACCACTAAAATAAAGAGAAAATGATGATTAACTAGAGCTCAAAACTTGCCTGCAACAAAATATTAAAATTTCATCCTAGATTTTAAATATATAAAAATATATTCAAAACTGGTTAAATTTTAATAAAGGTTGGAATTCATCACAGCTCAAAAAACCAATCCCAACAATCATTGAAGATCAAGGAAGAAATGTAAGTTTGTCAACAACAAATCAACTATCATAAACAACAACCAGCTACACAAACCTTATCACAAATACATTCATTTTGCATCAACACTTTTTGTTTTATGTTCCTCTTTTAAAGGTCAATTTTTTGCTCCATACAACATTGTAGGTCTCACCACCATCTTATAAAATTT